GAGTTTTACATTAGCAGAAATAAATGAAAAGTAAAGAATTTGCTGTTTATGCTATAGTGACCTACATAGAAACAAATAATGAACATTTATTTATGAAAAAGATCATAGCTAAAGCCAAAACGTGCTAAGGTTGTAATAATCTGTATGATAGCCATAGCATTTTTGGTGGTAATCTGAAAAGTTCTTCTGTAATAAAACCTGATTAAATACAGACTTTCCAAATTATTCTAAATCATTAAGAGAATACATTTTAGAAGCTAATATTTTATACTTTCTTGATCTCACTAGACTTGGGTTTTGGCTTTCATTATTTCTCTTGCGCTCCCTGCTCAGCTCTGGATTAGAGTGAGCTGTAGTAGGAAGGCTACTAATTCATAAATTTAGGCCTTGCTAAGTAAGAAAAAAATATAATTATTTTAGCAATCTTTTAACTTGGAAATCTTGAGCTAGACATGGGGTCTTTAATAATTTTCTTGTCCTGAAAGCAATATCCTGTTTTGCAGAGAGAACCCTTCTAAAAAATAAATATTTCTCTAATAAAGACATTCTTCCCCTCACAATTTAAGTGTCCAAGGCTATATTATATGTATTCCATGTATGACTACTTTGAAATTTCAGTCAAAAATACAGCACTCTTATGTATCAGCAAATTCAGTGAACTTTGCACAGAAGGAAATGGATCTCTGTTTATATTTGTTAAAACTTTTCAGTTTACCAGTTGCTTAACTGTTGAATTGTTTCAACAATAAGATATTTTTGTTAGGTATCTTTTTTACCATATGATAAACGGATCTGTCACAGGTGACTTAGGTGCCTTTTTTTGTAAGATGATCTGCAGCAGAAAGCTAATAAAAGCCTGTATCTTCTGTTTCTTTTATACCTAAGTTTTAGTCATAGAATTTTAAGGACTCTTGGCTTTATTTAAAGATAATTCTCTGGCCCATATTCCTGTGGTACCAGTTGCCAAAGTTGCATTTGGTCTTTCAGATCTGTAAGTTAACTTTCAATTATCTGATGTTTTAATTTTTAATACATGGAGCATATATAGAGATATGTAAACTTGTAGAATCGAAGCTAACCTTCCTGTGGTTTTTCAGATGCATGCAAAACAACTACAGTACAATTTTATAGTGCTTTTTTTTTTAGTGCTCCTAAACTCAATCACAGTAATTCAACTGCATTTGTAAAAGTGATATAAAGTGAAGATGCTGATAATATGCTCAATGTTTGAATTGTGAGTATATGTATGTTTGTAATGTTTCCCTGTAAAGAATGTGTGTGTTTGTAGATTTCAAATAATAAGATAAAAAGAAACTTTTGGTTGGAACTTCATCATCAAATGCAAATGGGAGGTCTTGCATGATTCTGCTGGTAATATTCATTGCTCTCTTCCTAATACTGTATCATTCCTGCCAGAGGATACTTAGCCCTCAGCCGCATGATACCTTTTTTGATCTGGGAATAAAGTAATCTTGAATAAATAAATGTGTTAATAAACAGATAGCATGTCCATGTACACATTTCTGTTCATGTACATGTATCTGTTCTTTCATGCATATTTTATAAAGAAAATCTATTCAAGTTGCTGAAGAAAGGATCCTTCCATGGGAAATCTAAAAATATTTCACTCTTGATTGCATCCAGTGCATTCTGAGGCTAAAAATAATTACTCTGCAGAAGAAAAGTTCTGTGCTTCTGGGATAGATCTTCTCTGGCAGGCATGATTAAAGAGTTTGCAAACAGACCTGAACTAGAACAGAAGTAGGGAAACTATGAGAAACCTTCTGTCAGTTTGGTGATGGAATTTTAGCAAGGATCTTTTAAGACCTTCCTCTAGCAAATCTCTGATAATAGCTATGTTAGGGGAGAATTAATCCTGAGGTTCCTGGCTGGTGGGGTCAAGGGGCATCTTGCCCTATCCAGCTCATAATAAATCAGAATGAGACCCAGAATAAACCCATGGCTTATTTACATGTTGGTTACAGAACATTGTTAATTTTGAATCTTTAGCATTTTTAGTGAATTTTTTGAACTGGTGCTCAATGTTTGTTTGTTTATTTTAATTTTAGGTTTTGTAAGATTGAAATTCATAGTTTGAAAGAAAAGAAAAATGTTTTGTGGTGTCTTTTCAAAGTACATTCTCAGATTATGATTCTTGTACAGTTTATGTCTGTATGGGATGGAATCATTATTCTGTGTTTGTATTACTCTTTCTTTCTTCCTCTGATTTTAACAGTTATCCATCTGCAAATAAAAAAATCCATTGCAGATGCATGCTTGGTATTATTTTTCTCCCAAGTGTATATGCAGTTTATGATTTTGAAATAACAGAGAGGCAAGTGTGTATATAAACCTGAATTTGGAATGAAGTATGGTAGAAGTGGATATAACATCTGTCCAATTGTGACTGTATTTATTTACATATTTGAGCAGAATCATTCCCAGAAGGTGAGATTGTATGTGTGTGTGCAAAAGAAATGCATTATAAAGGTTTAGAAATTGACAGTCTCAGATTAAGTCATTGACCTCTGTTTGGAGAAAGATACAGTCTCCAAAACAGATTAAACATTCTGAAAGGTTTAATTTCATAACTGTCAGAAAAACATTTCATAAAAGCAGTCAGCTTAAGGAAGCAAACATTGGATTTTGTACTATTGAAATAGCTTCGACAGAATATTGCCAATTTTTAACTAATGCAATTATTCAAATCATTGCAGTTTTTTCTGTATGTATGATTAAACTGTCATCACTAACACTACCACAAATTTAATTCATGAAACAAAAAACAAATACAGAGGTACTTATTTAAAAGCAAATTAATATGTGACAAAGGGCTTAGAATGGTTGTGATGCCTGTTAAGGCATTCCTCTACTAAGTACATAAATAATCATAGCTGGTCAAAATTTTGCCATATATGCATGCATACATCTCACTGACTTACTCCCTTGTCTGGTAAGAGATACTGATCACATTATACTCTGTCAAACGAATTTCTGAGAAGTACATACAATCCAAACTGCTTGGAATCATGCAGTTTCAGAGATACTTCCTTCAACCTCTTTGAATTACTGTGCAAAGACATATGTTCAGTTGTGAGAAGTTTTTCCCTTTTAGTATTGCTGCCTATGGGTTTGACTTCATGAAGCAATTTGCCTGGGCAAATGACCATTTTTAATTAGGTGCTTTTATTATTGCATTGTGCTCTTCCACTAATCAGATAAAAAATGAAGGAGCATTTGTGAGGTCTTTGTGCTAGTGTTAAGGCCATACTTCTTTTCCCTATGAAAACCAGCAGATACTGAAGCGTTTGCTCTGGAAAGGCTAGGAAGTGTTGCACTAAAGCACAGTATTAAACTTCTTCTATAAATTCAAGTGTCCTTTATGTTGGCAGTTTAAACTTGTGTTTACTGCTGCTGTAAATAGTCATTTATATGGAATTCCATTTGTTACAGCTTTTACTACTCTTGGTAGTCATGTGGTAAAGATGTTCAGCTGTTGGATCAGTTGATAAAAATCAGGAAACACTTGGATTATCCTCTGTTCTTCTTTCATGAAGTTTGATTAATTCCTTTTTCTCACCCAGTGAAAACACTGGCAGCCCTTTCTGGCATCTTTGTCATTATCTCTTTGACAGCTTGCCTTCCCGGTGCTTACAGTTCTAGGTCAGTTCGCATGGCTAGTCAAATGTGACAACATGACAAGATTAAGTAAAGCTGAGGTTCTGTGATTTGTAAATGGAGGATTTGTAATGTGAAGCTCCTTTGGTAACAAATAGTGAATAATCTGTGCCTGCCGTCAACAAGTGCGTGTAAGCATGTGTGCATCTCCTGTACTGTTGGTTTTCTTTCATGAAGCAACCAGAATTTTTTTCTCTAATAGACTGAAAGTAGTCCACATGAAGTGTGGTTTGTGTCTGTGCATGTATGAATGGTTATATACAAGTACATTAAAGGATTCAGTTTTAATAGCATGAGATTATCATATTACATTTGAAATATTTAATAAAAAATAGTATAATTGCATATTACAAAACTTTAAAAACAAGAACAAAAGATTGCTTTAAAAACTAATAAACAAAGTACCCAATATATTTCTAATTGAACTAGATAAGAATTTATTGAAGGTTTATTGTAACAAACTATAAGAGCAATAGTAATAGGAAAATGCTTTACAGATCAAACAAATACTTGGGGTTTAGGTATCACCTGATAGCAAGCCTCATTTTCCCCAGTGGCTTTTCTAAATGAATTTTATATAAAGTCTGACTTTCTTGGATGGAGATTATGCAGACAGATATTGTTGGTAGCATAGAATTATGTTAGAATTTTAACCAGGCATCAAGAGAAATGCCCACACTTGTTTAAATCCAAACAGCAAGAGTGAAACTTGAAAGAAAGCTTTTAAGATGAGGTCTGTTCCTGGGATTGTTCCATAGCAGTTATTCAGCATCAGCACAGGGCAAGGCCACCTATGCTGCTGTTTGTTGGACTTCTGTATTTCTCCAGATTAACCAATATCAATCATATTTATTTAAATGATTAACAAGGCAGTTCAACTTTGGATGGTTGTAAATATACAACAAACTTCAAAAGAATCTACAGGTTGGGATAGAGAAATAAAAATTAAAATCAGGTCTGAGCATCAGTGATCAAAACTTCTGCAAAACATTCCCATCAGTTAGTAAGAAAATTAGCTGGCCAGATTCTGATGTGATATAAATAAGTAAACAGTCAAGAATCTGAAATTCATCTCTGCATATAGAAAATCCTGAATAGGCTTCTCAAGTTTCTTCTTGCATCAACCTATAGGAAAAAGTAAAGGCTGCTTTTAATATTTCATCAATGACTTATTTATGAATATCCCTTCATGGAGATCTTTCGGTATAGCAATATCCCTATGGTAGACTTGTGGTTATGTTCCTTCATCTCTGAAAACCTGGGAATGTTAATACTATACTAATAGGAGATCCCTCATGGCTTTCAAGGCCTACAGGAGTTCAGCACAGAAGTATACCTTGAAGTTTTACTGTTTCATTGTGCTGTGTGTGCCTACTGCATCTTCCCAATTCTTTCTCTGCTCCACATCACAGATCTGTAAAGCATTATCAGTTGCGGGAGAGGTAGATGATATGCAACAAAGTATTTTATGGTCCACCCTTGTAGAATGATCTTAGTGTTCAATATTGTGCCTTTAAAACTTTGCATAGAGCATTTTAACATTCTTAACCTTTGCAATTAAGAAAAATCACTGGAAACTGGTTTTACCAGCAGATTTCAGTAATTTTTCTGTTATCTTAAGTAAAAGCTTAGGATAGACATCTTTCCTCATTGCCTTCTCAGATGTATAAAGAGACTCATTGCTTGTTCAGGTGACTGAAATGCCAAAAGTTGCTTGGTGTTAATATCCATAAATGAAATAAGCTGGTTGGTTGCACATGCTTTGAACACCATGAGCAGATACCATCCTACTGTAGTAAAGAATTTTAAATTAAAAGCCTACCACTGCTGCACAGTGTTGTCCCACTGAGGTTAAAATACTGCTCAGCAATGTGGTGTCTAACTGGTGTGTGTACAAAGGAGCTCTGCTACTCATGTCATTGATCCTGATATCATTGTAGTTGTGTGACCAAGAAAAAGAGCAAGATGTTAATTACTGGAATCACTGATATGGATAAGGCCAGGTAAACCTTGCTTTCCTTGTATTCCTACCAATCCTTTACTTAAATCTTCACATCTTTTGCCTAAAATGTTATTGCAATTCTGCATTGACACCTGACAAAGAAAAGAGATGTGGATTGGCATTTCTGTACCACCTGCCAACAGCAAGAAGCACATCCTACAATACTGCCAGTTTCCTGGGTGGACAGGCAGGGCAGGAATACCAAAGCACTCTGTACTATCCCTTCTGCTACCTCACCAAGCCTCACTCATTCAGTTGTCTTTTTGTGAAATTTAGTAATACATTTCAGTACAAGAATTTCAGTAATTTAAGGTTATTCTGGTTGAAAACTCAACACATACAGGTCTGAAGAAGAATCAATTTTATTGCTTGATTGTTCAAATACAGTCAAAGCTAGCAAAGAATAGATAATACTTTGAAAAAGTTAGAAATACGAGCTTTCCAGTGATACATATGCTGCTTGTAATATGGCAAGTAGTAGGGGATTAGATGCGAGCTTTAGCTGAGGCAGTACCAGTTTTTTTAACTTCCCATTTTTCGTTCTTAAAAAGGCTCATTATTTGCTATAGTTCCTCTAGTAATATGTAGAATTTAAAGAACAGGGGGAATTGATAATGAGCAGAAAAATTTGTGCATCAAATTCCTAAAAACTAAAATAATGTTTCAGATTCTTCTTCGGTAGTTCTCAAATCACTTGAGGAAAATGTGATAACTTGGTTCATATTTTATACGGTGATTTTTTCTTTATTAATACTGTTATGAAAATCTATACTGTTTAATTTATTAAGAAACTTCCAAATGTTTCTAGTATCAGAGCTCCACTTCCTGTCCTAGATGTCTGTGGAATACAGCCTGAGTACCAAAGAACTTAAAAGCCTAATATGCTAATTATAATTAGAGAGGCACATACTTTCCCTATTTTTAGAGACTTCAGCAATACATACTGCTGATTTGAAGAGAGATTCAATTTCAAAGACCCTACTGAAACAAATCTCACAATCAGTTACCATTTGTAACTCTTTTTTTCTTTTTTTTAATCATTATTTTTGCAATGGACAAGAAATTGGTCTTTTATGTAGCATTTTAGCAATGTAAGATCCTGTACTGAAAATGGTTGAAGGGATTGAGCCATAGCATGGGTAAAGAACAGCATACCATCCACTGAGCTTTGGGTGTCTGCCTACATTGCACCTACATTGTACACCTACATTTGCACTTACATTTACAGATGGTAACATGACTACACTGATCTGTTTTTCTCAGTTATTTCCCTGTAAGCTGTTAGTCCAGCTACTTAAGAACCAGTGTCAGTATGGTAACAAAATGCTAGCAAATACTAGCTTTTTGCATGTTATGTCCTGAATACTTGTTCCAGATACTTATCTTGTTCTAATTAGTGTTGCATCAAATTGTTCATAAGATGTGTTCTTAGACAAGAATTTGTAAGTGCAGGTACTGGTTTTGATACATTGATTTAACATTCTGTAAAATATGCAGATAATCACATTGATTATTAATTTATTCAAAAGACTTTGCCATTTGCATATCCTAAATTTTAGAAAATTGTTTACCTAGAATGATTATTTCCAGTGTCAATTATAACAAAGCATTTAAATGCCACTAATTTTAATGAGAAGTAAGCATGCTGGCATAATAGTGAATAAATGATCCAATGACTGTGTGACTCCACTAGCTTACTGATTTTCAGTGTGACAGTATAGTTTAAATCCTTCTTCTGTTTTCAGCATGGAAATCAGAATCTATTCTGCTAACCTTCTGAGCTTCTAAATTTGGTGTCATGCAAGGGCGTGTTTAAAAATTAGCATTTAAAAAGAAACCCACTTGCTTTAAGTTTAAGCTGACACTGTTCCTTTCCTCTGTGGAAATGAAATTTATTAATCATAATAAAACCATCATATTCTGAAGGTAGAGGTCACCCTGAGGAGAAAAAAAAGAAGTCTGTTCAACACAGGGGAATGTCAATGCTTTTTTTTTCCAGATAATATCTGAGCATGTATTCTCTCCCCTTAGGAAAAATATTATTCCATGTGTGTGCTTATGTATCTCAAGTCTATTTAGGAGTGTGCAAGAATGAGAATTTTTGCATTCTAATATTATATACTGTATTTTCTTTTACAGAAGATTTGGAAGAATGCTTTTTATATTTTATTTATGTTTACATTGCACACAGTTGTTCAAGTGGAATTTCAATATCCTGTAAAAATGCTTCTTATTTTAACAAGAATATAAGCATTGCTAATTCTGAAATAGCATTTTATGTTAATATCGTAGTACAAACTTCAGCGTTATCATAATATATATGTAAAATATTCTATTTAAGGAGCAAGGAGTAACTTAGGTCACATTTTTCACATTAGGATTACTTCACAACTCTTTCATTTTAAGGAAGAAACATGTTTTACACAGTAGGATGAAAACAGCAATGCAAAGCACTAGCAATAAGTTACTTCTATTCTGGCAAAAGAGTAATAAAAAATGTACTCAGAAGTAAATGCTGGGTTGAAGCTGTCATTTTTTTTTCTTTTGAAATTGCTTAATGTGTTTGTTTATCTGTATTTTTTCTTAGTCATCCAGAATTCTGTAGAACATTTATATAATACATTAACTACATGTTTTATTACACCAGCGTTATAAACTTGGTAGTTCCTTCAGTATTTGTGTTAAATATACTAATAATTTAATAAACTGCTCTTTCCTCACAAGTGGCCCTTGAATTTGGGCCATTTAATCCCCTGCATGGGTGACCCGTTAGTCCTTCAGTTTTGTGGGGTACTCTATATAGTCAAGGATCCTGCAGGAATGGGATGTAGTATGTCATCAAAAAGCAACCCGACTGCAGGAAATGGATCAGAGCAATGGAAACAAGAAATTCATAAAGTTCCAGTTTAGTTAATAGTTTACAATAGGCCAAAAGTAATTCTTACAGATCTAAATTTTAAGTCCTTGCTCAATATGGCAATAACACTAGTTAATCGGGGGGGGGTGGGGAAGACATGAAAATGTACTGATTCCCATTGCTTTAAAAATAATTGTCATGACATTAAAGTACATCTAATAATCGTATGTGCAATTCCTCCTCCATATTACTCGGGACATAAGGGAAATTTATAATGCTGGGAACAAGTCTAGCTTTAAATTAATCATTTTCCTTTTCTAGAAGTTTTCTTACTGTTTGAATGAGATTTGGCTTGAGAGGATCAAAATTATAATGATATTTAAAATGTAATCTCAGATTTTTTAAAAAAGGCCATACAGAGGAAAGTAAGATGTCTTCTTCATTTCACTGTAGATGAACAAGACATAAGAGATTATGTTACGCCTACTATCAAAGCTAAGTATTTTCTATTATAATATTCTAAATAATTTCTATTATAATATTCTAAATATTATAATATTTGCATCCTAATGTGGAAATTTAACCAAGGCTGAGGTTTATGGAAGCTTTTCCAACCAAAGAGGCTCCAGAGTATGGAGTCAGTGTCAAACCTGCTCAAAGAACTCTGACGCCCCCTTTCCAATTCAAAGGATCATCAAGTATCATTTACCCAACATAAGCTGATGTGAGCTTTTTTTTTTCTTCCATTTTTTTTCAATGGGAACTGCCTGGTTTCCTTGTTGTTAACTGCATTGAATAATTTCCAAAGACCATGGATACCAAGATTAAAATGGAATGCATAAAAAGATTTAATCCTTCACTCATCAATATAGTGGATGCAAAAGATGAACTAATATGTTTTATATAAGTCTTTTACACATATTTTAGTGAGTTTAAGACCATGTGTTCAGGTGATTGCCCAACATGCTGCTTCCCCTGGATATTCGTGTATATCTTTGATAGCTATGAAGACTTCTCTGCCCAAATCTAAAGTAAGCATAGCAGTAGCATAGAATATAGCCCACATACATAAACGTACAGTACTTTCATAGCTTTAATAGATTAACTCCTTTTTAATGTATTATTCTTTATTAGAAAGTTGAATTTACTAAGTAAACAAGACAGTACAACTGAAAGCATTCAGCTACCATGTTGTTATTTTGGAGTGAAATGTCTAGATTTTGCTGTAGAATGCTTTTTAAGGACATACATTTGCTCAAAATGCCAGTCTCTGTTGCTGAAAAAAAATGGTTTATTCACACTATCAAATATCAACCAGTGTACACTTTGAAGTTTGTACTTACTTATCTTCTTTCCACTTTTTTCATCAAGAGGTATGGTTATATATCCTTGGAAAAGGAAAAATGTATAACTTCTGCAAGCCTGTGACCTTAGGCTTGGTCAGAGAGTAAGAGACATTTATGTAAAGTCTTTTTAATGCTTCTTAGTGCTGAAACCTTTTGCCATTAAATAGCACAGTTGTCCCAGGAGGTAGTTTATTGGGGTTTCCTTATGGAATGAATCCCTCATATTCTTGCAAATGTTGGCTCAGTGAAATGGAGAATTAAAGACTCTCTTGCCTATGGTAATTTCTGCTCCTTCCTTGAAGGTAGCGATGTCTAGTTCAGATAATTTGGACATCTTCTCTGACTCACATCCAGGGCCGCAGTAG